CTTTTTCTTATTCCTCTGTCTCTCCTCTCTTCCCCTTACTCCTCTCCCTCACCCCCCCCTATTACATCTCCACCACGTCCACCACCTCCTCCTCCACCGCCAGCCCCCCCCCCCCCCCTCCCCGCCCCCGACAACAAGCACAAACTCTCAAGGTCGCCTGACTGTACACTAATTGGAAAAAGCACACGGGCACAGGCATCTTCCTGAATAAACTTTCAGCTCTCTCGTTAATGAAACTCTGGACTGGAAACTCGCCTAAGATCTGACAGTGAAGACGTATTTACTGCCAATGTCAAGTAAATACAAGTGTGACTCAATCAGCAGTCTAAATTTAATAAACACACTCACACACGCACACATGATTTCCTCCCGTCCTTCGCCCTCTCTCTCTCTCTCTCTCTCTCCTCATTCTCATTCTCATTCTCATTCTCTTCTCTCTCTCTCTCTCTCTCTCTCCGCGCGCGCGCGCGCGCGCGCGTGCGTGTGTGTGTGTGTGTGTGTGTGTGTGTGTGTGTCTGTGTGTCTGTGTGCGTGTATGTGTATGTGTTTGTCTCTCTCTCTCATTTACTCACTTACTCATTCACTCAATCACTCTCTCATATCTCACACTCATTCACTTACCCCCCCCCCCCTCCTTCAGCTCCCTTTCCAGACGTGAGGGAACCGAGCCCGAGCGGATTCCCGTCCAAATTCCAAAGGTCCCAAGCAAATACCACGGGAATAAGCAGGCCATTCCCGCTGGAGTTCACCGCGCCAAAGTCTCCGGCAGAGGCACGCCCGTGGGTCGGCGGGTAATTTTCTCCTCCTCTTTATCTCGTTTCATCTTTTTTTTTATCTTCTTCCTCTTTCTCTACCGATATTGGTTCTATGGTTTTAATAAGCAACACTAACTTAACGGATGCCAGCTCTTACTTAAAGATGCCAGCACTTTTTTACAAATATCTCAAACACTGTTACTACGGGAATCGAGAATAACAACTACTCCCATTACTATCGTTGGTCATTATTCCAACAACCACTCAGACTATCAACATCACGAATACTAATACCAATACAACCATTACCGAATCTACCACAACGACGACGAATCTACCACAACGCCGTCCCTACAATACCGCGCTCCCCTCAACCCTTCCAACCCCCCGCCAATAGGGAAGCGAAGCGACAACCAAATCACACAGCCCGCTCTCCCCTTCCCCCCATTCCCATCTTCTCCTCTCCAAGCACACACGCCGCCTCCCCTTCCCTCCTCTCCCCTCCCTCTCCAAGCACACACGGGCCCCGTCCCCTTCCCTCCCCACCCTTATCCCCTCCGCGTGCCTTCCCTCCCCTTCCCTCATCCCCTCCCCATAAACCAGCCACACTTCGTCTAACAGCAGGGAAGGGGGGGGGGGTAAGGGGCAAAAAGAACCGACAAACTTTGCGAGTTTCTGCTTGTTATCGCAGCCTGTGACACACTTCCTCCAGTTGTTGGGCCACCCTTGTGGGAGAGGGATCGAGAAAGGGTGGATGGGAGAACGGAGAAAGGGAGGGAGGAAGAGAATGAGAAAGAGATAGTGAGGAAGAGAGAAAGAGAGAGAGAGAGAGAGAGAGAGAGAGAGAGAGAGAGAGAGAGAGAGAGAGAGAGAGAGAGAGAAGAGAGAGAGAGACGAGAGAGAGAGAGAGAGAGAGAGAGGAAGAAAAAAAGGAGAGAGAGAGAGGGGGGTGAGAGGAAGAAAAAAAGAGAGAGAGAGAGGGGGGGGTGAGGAGGAAGAACAAAAGGAGAGAGAGAGAGAGGTAAGGTGAAGGAAAAAGTAAAGGGAGTGAGGGAGTGAGAAAGAATTACATCAAAGAATTAAATAATAGAAAGAACGCGGGACAAAAAAGAAAAAGAAGTAAAAAAAAGAAGAAAACTTTAACTCACAATTACTACCTCTTTCTATACGACCTCAATTCTGCCACTTCCCTCTTCCTTCCTTTATCGCTCCGTTTATTGGCCTTCCATCCTCTACCTCCTCTTGCGCTTCCTCCCTCCTCTTCCCCTCTTTTCGCCCTCCCGTTTCCCCTCCGTCACTCCTGTCCCACTTCCCTCTCCTTCCTTCGGAAACAAACGCCGCCAAAATGTTTTTAAGTGTGATAACCGGTTATTCCTACATTAACTAAGAATTAAGGACAATACACATTTTTCAGCTTAATAAAATGGACAATAACAATAAGCAGCATATCTTTACGAAGAAAAGAACAATTGTTCAACACTCTTTTCCTGACAAACAACACAAGAGAACGATGACCGAAATTTTCATTCACAAGAGTTTATTTAATCACAGGCGCTACATGAATGGAATATAAATCCATGTACATTGTTTTTTACAACTTTCTTGACACAAACACAATAAAAAAAAATCCAAGCACGAAAAATATACAACCAAGAGTAAAGCAGCTAAAGTTTTCTATACAAACAAAAGAACACATTTTTTAAAATCTTACATGTTGACGCCGTTATATCACTTCTCAAAAATGTTTAAAATCCGTTAAGCGAATAATCGGAACCAATCGCAATTTATATCATATATACAGTATATTGAAGACGAAAAAAGTGGCCAGTTCAGTTCAACTTGAAATACACTTTTGCATCAATTCAGCGGAGATTCGATTTTCCAATTAGATCTTATTTTACGACCGAAGCGCAAAAATAAAACAAAATAAAATAAGCGAGCGTCGGAGAGTCGAGCAAACTAGTCGACCTAAAACACGAGTATTATCAACACTGCTTTACCTGAAGCGTTAAACCCATACTCACTACCTCCCCCCCTCCCCGGCCACTGTACCCCATCCCCCTATTCTTCACCTCCCTCTCCCCTCCCTCTTCCCCTCATCTCCCTCTCCCTTCTCCCTCTCCCACCCTCGCGACTCCCCCTTCCCTATTCCCAATCCTCCTCCCCTCCCCATTCCTCCCCCTCCTCCTCTATTCCCCGCCTCTCTTCCCATCTCCTTCCCTTCCCCCTTTCTTCCCCTCCACCTGCCTTCTCTTAATCCCCTGCCGATAAGCGAGATAACCACCTGAGCTAACACTATCGGTCAACACCATAATGCCGCAATCTCATTTTTTTCTTCCTTCCTCGAGCGAAAGCAATGCTGTCAGTTTTGAACGAAAACATCAAAAGGAGTTTTTTTATTCTTTAAAATCCCAAACACCAATTCCCCGAGTTCAGAAATCGAGAGAAACATGAATGATTAAACTACCTGGTGTTCCTAAGGATACACACATAAATGTTTCCTCATAGCCTTTGATATTGATAAGATAAAGCTTATCAGTAGGTTCCTATTTACGTCTAAAAATACTTCCTTGTCAACAAAACCAGGAAGATGCTGGCGAATTGGCATGCAAACGACCCATAACAAAACAAAAGATCCCATTACATTTTCACAACAGTAGGGAATAAAGGCAATTAACCAGCTATGTACAAAAATTAAATAATGGCAACAAATTAAATAATTAAAACATGGCAATCAAAAGACAAAGAATCAGCAGAAGTATAAACATTAACCATATAATTCATTAAATCTTTCTATACAACAGACCTTTCCATGATTAGCTTGCAAACCCTTTGACACCAAGGATCATCATCTTATAAACACAATAATTCAATAAAAGAGTTGATGTCATTCTTTACCACTGTATGAAACATTTCTTTACAGTCAACCACGATCCCTCTCAAACTCCAATCAACCCTAAAAGCCCTCTCCCTTTAATGTCAATCACCCTTTAACAATCGTGAGAACTTCCTTTAGCATCTCACCTCCCTTTAGCAACAATTACCCTTTTACAATTTCTATCGGCCTTGAAATCCAGACACACTTTAACCATTCCCTCCCCTAAAGCCACCCCCTTACTTCAACACTAATCATTATTTATTGGTCTCTGCCCCCCCCTCACCCCCTTCCTTGAACACCAATCACCCTGGGTTAATATCCCAACCAACATGACCTGTATTCCACACATTACACAGAAACAATTCCACTGACTAAGACTTACCATAAGAACTTTTTTCACCTCTCTTGTAGACAAATTTTAGAACATGGAACAAAACAAACCCACACCAACAAATTCAGAAACAGAATTTGCATATTTGCATCTCTCATGAAAAAAAGAAAAAAATCTGTAAAACAAACCTCATCCGATAACCATAACATACAAAACAAAACCATAACCATAGGAAATTCAAGAAAAGAAAAAAAAATACACACCTTCAAAATACTTGAGAAAAAAAAAAACTACAGACAACATGAACTGTCGCAACCCCTTCCCCCCCTCATTCAGTACTTACCACCCGACTCCTTGATCTTCTTCGCATATGCCTTAAGGGACCTCTTGTACTTCTTGAGCTGCTCGGTGAGGTTGTCCACTTGTCCCTGCAGATTCTGTGGGGGAGGGAGAAGGCCAACAGCAGGTGAGTTATCGTTATTAGCAAAATATGATATCATCTGGGAATCAAACTGATAATAAAGAAATTAATTTTGATAATATTTGTTAATGATAATAATGTTAATTCTGATAAAGAGTATCAATTTCGTATCACCATCATCAAATCCCCATATAGTGATGAAAATAATAATAATATTAATAATAATATTAATAATAATAATAGTAATAATAATAGTAAAATAATATAAATAATAATAATAATGATTGAAATAATAACAATAATAAAACAATAACAAAAACATACAGATAATATAATAATGATAAAAAATGTAAAAAACAACAACAATATTGATAATGATAATAATAATGATGAAAATATTATATCTTAATAACTATAATAATAATAATAATAATAATAATAATAATAATAATAATAATAATAATAATAATAATAATAATAATATAATTAATTATTATTATTTATTATTATTATTATTATTATTATTATTATTATTATATAGTAGTAGTAGTAGTAGTATAGTAGTAGTAGTAGTAGTAGTAGTTAGTAGTAGTAGTAGTAGTAGTAGTAGTAGTAGTATCATTGTTATTATTTTTTTAATTAAAATAACAATAACGATGTTTTATAATTATAATATAATATAATAATAAAAGTAATAGTAACAATTATAATAATAATAATAATAATAATAATTATCATTTTTATTATCATTATTATTATTATTATTATTATTATTATTGTTATTATTTTTTTTAAAATAACATTAACAATGATATAATAATAATACAATATAATATAATAATAAAATTAATAATAACAATAATAATAATAATAATAATAATAATAATAATAATAGTAATAATAACAATAATAGTAATAATAATAATAGTAATAATAATAATAGCAGCACTAAAAATAATAATGTTAACAATAAAAGAATACTACTCAATCATAATAATAACAGTAATAGTACTAGTATTCTATTTCAGTTTAAAAGGTCATTAATTACAAGGAGTCAAGGCAAAAAAAAAAAAAAAAAATTACACACACACACACAAAAAAAAATAGAAAACCAACTTATGAAGAAAACCAGATGAAACACAATAACATTTAAATCAATAAATTTCAATTTATACAAGATTTGTATTAACTACTACATGAACTACATAACACAACAAAACAGGTTCCGTTCATGTTTTGCAAATCAAAAATTGGTCCAACTGTACTCGATAATCATGCCGATGTAAGTATAGCCAATGGTCACAATATTGGGCTAGTAACAAGGTTAGACTAATTACATGCACCTTATATTTGTCACAGTACTTTTAAGAAATTGGAGGTGGAGGTGGAGGTGGAGGTGGAGGTGAAGGTGGAGGCAGAAGAAGAGGAGGGAGGAGGGAGGAGGGAGGTGGAGGAAGGAGGAGGGAGGAGAGGTGGTGGAGGAGGTCGGTGGTGGAGGAGGTCGGTGGTGGGTGGTGTGGTGGAGGAGGTGGGAGGAGGAGGAGGAGGAGGAAGGAGGAGGAGGAGAGGAGGAGGAGGAGGAGGAGGAGGAGGAGGAGAGGAGGAGGAGGAGGAGGAGGAAGAAAGGATAAGGAGAAGAAAGATAAGATAAGGTAAGAAGAAATGTTAAATAAAAGACAAAAAAAGGGTGCACACAGCAAAAAAAAGGTAAATTAAGAAAAAAAAATATATATATATATAAAACATAAAAAGGACAGAGTACTAATTTCATACTCATCTTTACCACGAAAACTAAGCATGAAAGAGGTGGAGGTGGAGGGAGGTGGAGAGGTTTGGAGAGAGGAGAAGGAAGAGGAAGGAGAGGAAGGACAAGGAAGATGGAGGAGGAGGTCAGAAAGGAGCAGGAGGAAATGAGAGGAGAGGAGGTGGATGAAAAGGAAGGAGGAGGCAGGAGAGGCAGAGGAGGAGGAGGAGAGGAGGAGAGAGGAGGAGGGGGAGGAGGGAGGAGGAGGAAGAGGAGGAGGAGGAGGGGAGGAGGAGGAGGAGGAGGGAGGAGGGGAGGAGGAGGAGGAGGAAGAAGGAAGGAAGGAGAGAGGAGGGAGGAGAGGAGGAGAGGGAGAAGGGAGAAGTAAGGAAGGAGAGAAGAGGAAGGGTGGAGGGAGGATAAAAGAGAAAGAGGGAAGGAAAGGGAAGGAAGAGCAAGGGAGGCAAAAAAGAAATGGGGGGAAAATACTAAAAGAAGAATGAGCAGAAAGAGAAAGGCCATAGAAAAAGGAGGTGGAAAAGGCAGAAGGGGAAAAGAAGAAGAAAAAGAAAATAATATGGAAAGGAAAATAAGTGAAAAGAGAAACAGAAGTAAATAACAATAAAAAACATATGAAAAAGTACCACTTCAACAATAACAATAATAATGCTCAAAAGAAAGAAAGAAAAACTCTCTAACTCGATTCCTACATTACAAATCTTCCTGAAAAATGTATGTCATCCTACTAAGGAAGGGGATCTTTAGGTGAACGACCTCTGAAGGAAGGATCGCATTTCTTCCCAATTAAAACAGCACTGAACGAGGACAAATTCCTGTAAGTTTTTTCTCAAGTTCTTTTGGAGAATTTTTTGTCAACGCTTGACATTTTTCCTCTCCCTTTTCTTGTATGACATTTAGAAATTGTGCTATTTCTGTCATCTTTATGGAAGACAATAACATAAGAGCACTGCGAACAATAATGCCTACAAAAAATAAGACTAACTCTCAGCACAAAGATTGAATGTAAAGAAAATGAAAACAAACAACAACTTGACCTAACATTTCAACATAACATAGCAGATAGGCAGATAACCCTATATGAGTTGACAAGCTCCCAATATTGGCCAGCACTTATGATAATAATAAAAGTCTACATAATATTACTAATATAGGCTATAAAGATAATATATGATAGCTACCATTTACTATGGGCTTGTCGGTCTGCCTTCTTTACTTGACCAAATTCTAAATTACAATATGCAATCATGCATTCTAACCACTATTTTCTCAGTATTAAGTATTCTGAGCAAGTCTGTTGTAGAAAGTATAGCATGACGTGTCATATACAGCAGAAAGGGAAGCAGGTTATAG